CCTCCCCCGACCTTCCAGATACCAGACACCCACTTGAACGCCAAAAGAAAATCGCCGATACACTCCATCCCCACCCCATCTTCACATAGATCCCAGACAGTGCTGCGTTCGCAGAGAGCGGCCAGACGCACGGTGCCCCCGGTGCATTCTGCTTCCGAGGCTAAAATATTGCCCACGGCCGCGCAAGATACTGCTGCAATTGCTTGCGAGCGCGAGGTAGACCATGAATAGCGCCGTGCTTTCTTAGGGCTGGAAATCAGCGGGCATTCCACGCCCCCGAACACCTTCGCTTCATCTCCCAAATACCTGTCTTTCGTGCCGTGAAGATGTGCTGGAAGATCTCTGTCCATGAGAACGATTTGTGCTTCCTGTGGAAAACAACTGCCACCGATGATACGACAGCAATCCGCAGCTTGAACGAGCCCCCACTGTGGATAATCAGTCATCTTGCGGCGTGCCACTTCTTGCATCAGAATGCCAGGCTGCCGCTTGAAACGACTGCCCTTCGGTTTCAAAAAACCAGTTTGTACTTGGACCAGATATTCTAGGATATCGCACCTGGTCTTGATCAGACATGGCACACTCATCAGCAGATCTGAAAGAAAGGTGGCCCCTGTCGCATAGCTCGGCGGTGCCCGCTGTCTCCTCCGCGAGGGCCATCGGCTCGAGGCGAATAATATATGGCTTCGCCTGTAGAACAAGATGCCCCACGCCGATCGATCCACGAACTGCCCCGCGCAACGCGAAGAACAATGCCAACCGCTTCAGCGCCCCACGCTCGCGCTCCACGCACTGATGCACGCGCAAGATCGCATTCTTCACTGCCAACACCAGAAAGTCACCAACGCGCATCATAATGATGCACGCCAAAACAGACCTCTCGTCATCGCACCGGCATCCATACATATCGTCGCGCAACGACTGGTGCAACTCAAACCCGCTGAGAAAAATGCCGACATGCGATCTGGAGCGGAACCGGTCCATCAACCAAGCCGCACATGGACTTGCTCAGTAGCAAAACATGAAGACCTCGCCCCATGTCTCGACCGTCGAAAATTCGAACAGACGCGGACGTAGGCGTCGCCAAACGTTTGCCTGAGGTTGATTCCACGCTGCCCAGGTGCGTCTGCGCTCGTGACCAAGCTCCTTTACTCGCGCTTCGGTGCGCGCGTCGAATGCCCCGCAGACCAACAAGCGCTGAGCTCCAAGAGTCATTGCTAAAAAATGAATAGCGATGATGTTAAAGACGAATGCCAAGGTACTCACTTACGCAGAACGCCCATGAAGCATTGCCTACACATGCACGACTCGACCACTGACGGGCGACTCGCCTCCCACGCGCGCACCCAAACTGCATCAATCGCGTTGGCGATGTTGCTAACCTTGCCAAGGGTGGGCACCTCAGACTTATGTGTAAATGTATACCTGGTAACATATCGACCTCGTCTCGGCGTCACAGTAGTTGATTACGTCACTTCCTGTCAGGAAATCATCGTGAGCTCCGGAGAAGAAGTCATCTGCTAGAAAGCCGTACCAGAAGCACGCCTCCTTCACCCATGGTTCCAGAAAGACCAGGAGCGGTTCCTGCGCTGTCCACGCGCTCGATCCCGACGTAGCGAAGGAAAGCCAATGCTGAGTTCGACCTGCACTCTCTGCTGCATGCGCCATCGGGCCCAAGATATACAGCACTGAAACCATGCCGAAGGTGCCACCGAGACGCGGTTCTCGGATTCTGGAGACGGCAATGTTTCCTCCAAACATTCAGGCGCGTAGTCGATGGCGCCAGGTGGAAATTCAATCGTTGCGCCCAGCGAGCACTGTGGGTTTTCCAAAGTGATGTCTACCACTGGATCTGCTCCTGCCACTGCTTCTGGCTCGCTTGCTATCAGAGCTGTCTCTCGTGGTCCTGCGACGCTTGCTGAAGTCGAAGGCGAGGCTGGCGATGGCACGGCCCGGCTCGCCGGTCATCTTGCCCTTCGTGCCGCGCAGCAGGCGATGGTTTCAAGGGCGGACCTGGTCCTTGCTCGACAGGCTCTTAGACTGGCCAAAATCCGCCGCTGCGGACGCAGCGTTGAGGAGCTTCTTCTCGGGCATGGCGCTGATCCCCACCATCCCAACTCTTGCCCGCGCTCTGTCGCTGGACGCACTTCAAAGCGGCTGCGGCTATAGGATCGGCGACGACGAAGATGCCTGAGCCCCCCGAGATGAATTTGGACGCCCGAAATAGGCACGGAAAGAATGAGCACCATGCCCAAAAACAAATGTTGTCTCAACCAGCAGCGGCCGCTGTTGGGCAGGCGGCCTCCTGTCTTAAACAGAAACAGGCCGCTGCGGCGCGGACTGCGAGTCCTGTTCAAAATAAAAGAGAACTGCTGTCGGGCTTTGTACCCATTCTTTCCGTACCCATGTCGGGCGCCACGAATGAGGACGGCTGCCTGACCTCTCGAGGGGGCGCTGGCCACGGCAAGGTAGCAGGCCTTCTTCTGATCATGATTCTCGACGGATTCGTCGATGCCGAACCTGATGGCCTTGATTCCTCCACTTAAGGTGTCATATTCGCTCTCGCCGCAATCGGAGATTCAGACGCCATCATCTTGGCAGGCGGCGGACTATATGTTTC